ATTACTGAACTGAAAGCTGATCCTGAATTTGGAAATATCTATGCTTATTTGAAAGACCCCGAAAGCTTTGAGCATACAGATATCGATGCGATAAGAAATAGAGCAAAAAACTATGAAATAATAGATAATTTATTATTTTATACGAAAACAACAAACGAAAAATCTGAGTACAAACCAGTCATCCCAGCCTCGCTTCGATTAAGCATTTTGAAGGAGTTACACGAACGCGAAAAAAACAGCGGGCCATTTAGGGGTCAGAAAGACTTTAAAAAAGGGTACGCGAGGGCGGTATATTTCCCGCAATTATACAAAATAGTAACGGCGTATGTCAGGTCCTGCAATCAATGTCAGTTAATAAATGATATTAATTACAGCCCGGCCGGGTACTTAAATAGCATTCGCGCTACATTTCCGAATGAAATTTTAGGCATAGATCTTCTTGGTCCCTTTCCCCCCAGAGCGAGTTAAATAAAAAATCGTTTTCTTTTAGTAATAGTAGATCATTTTTCAAAATGGACAGAAATTGTTCCACTTAAACGCGCGTCAGCCAAAACAGTCGCAGATGCATTCTTACACAGATACATTTTAAAATACGGTGCACCGATAAAAGTCATTAGCGATAACGGAAAACAATTCATTAGTCAAATATTTGAAAACATATGCAATGGACTTGGCATACGCCATATCAAAATGGTTCCGTATAGACCACAGGCAAACATAGCAGAAAGAGTTAATAAAAACATTGTAAAAATAATTCGCAGTTACGTTAGCACACATCACAAGCGCTGGGATGGCTACATAAATGAGTTAGCTTATGCTTTAAGAACGGCAAATCATGATACTACGGGAAAAACCCCAGCAGAATTATTTTTAGCCAGAAAGTTAATTACGCCTTTAGATAAATTATTCTTTGTGCAACAAAGAGAGCAAGAATTTAAACAGAAAGACGTGCAAACGCTTATTGACCAGCGATTAAAAGCTCGGATCTTACAAGGTATTTCTCCCAATTTCCTAGCATGCCTTCGTGGTGTAGTGGGTCAGCACACTGAGCCGGTATTTCAGCGGTTCGTTGTTCGATTCCCGTCAAAGACGATTACTAATTTTTCATCTTTCCTGCTTCCAAATAACCTAATGTCTCTACAGTGGCGCCCAAACTAAAAGGGTGTAGGATGATAATTCTCCTCACCCAGTATTTGGCGACTGCGTCCTCTAAAAACTCCAGTGGCCCTTTAAAAGGGGGAGTATATAAGGTATTTCTCCCACCTTCCAGCGTGCCTTAGAGGTGTGGTGTTCAGCACTCTGGGCCGGTATTCTAGAGGTCCTTGATTTGATTCCCGGCGAAGGCGGTTGCTAATTTTTCATCTTGCCTGCTTCCAAAAATACCTAATGTCTCTACACACTGACCATTAAAATTTGAAGGTAATCTGTAACATTTCGGTTTTCATCAACAGCGGTAATTTTATTTTAATTTTTCTGATATTCAACTAATTCTGGATATATAAGAGCCCAATGCTTTTAGAACAGATTACACATTAGACGCTTGCTTTGCAATGTCCCCCCCCCGTGTTCTACTTTAAAATAAATATAACAAACACTTTTGTTCTTTGTAATTTCTTGTTTTTTGGAGCTACAAACAATCTTTACTTTAATGTCATTTCCCACAAAAGTTAAAAATTTTATGTTTGCCAAAGTTTAGAGTTTTTTTCGCCCGAAAATACATCATTTGCCATACGAATCAAATCTTCATTTTGATTTCTTCTGTCTCTTCGGTAAGCAGCTTAAAAAATTTTTAAATTTGATTTTGCAATTGAAAGTCGTTATCCTCCTTCATTTTTTTAAAAGTAACAATAAATGTTTTAACTTTTCACATAGGAGCCTTCTGGGTTACTAACCGAAGCGTGATTCTCTAGCCAAAACTTTAAGATCTCTTCGGAAATATACGATTCGACCAGAGGGAACAACATTGCGGCGTATTTATCGCTCGTCATTCCAAATGATTTTTATCCTCTTAAATAAAATTCCAATATAATATATAACGTTGTAATATTAATTTTTCTCTCATTCTCATTAGCATTTTTGATAACTAGGATTAACAACTCGCGAACATTGAATTCACTTAATAGTTCTTCCTTTCCAAACTAGGTTTGACCCATTCTATGATATTTTCATAATTTGCCAAGGTGGTGGAAAAACTCTCTATCTTCTTTTTCCATTGCTTTGACTCCAAATTTGAGCCAATCCTTTAACTCTCCTCAAAACTGTCTCAGTTCGATCTACGGCAGTCTATTTTTCCTTTTGTAAAGATTTGGCGACGGATAGCTCAAAACAGAAGCATTAATTTACGTAACTTGATTGTTAAAAACCATTTGTGCATCAAAACCGTTTTTCTTTCATACTTTCAATACCCACATATTCTTCATCTCCTTTAATTTCACGTAAAATCTCGTTATCTGTTTCTTTAAGCTTTGGAAACTGACCTTCAAATGTTGTCCATTTCGATTCTATGAATTGAACATTGGAGAGGGGGGCTCTTTGTTTATTCTTCAATTAATTCATTCATTGTTTTACAATTACTTAATTACTTTCATTTCAAATTACAAGAAAGACTATTCTACTTGTTTGACTCCAAACGATCACATCCAGTTCAACACAATCTTACAGCCATTACCAGAAACTGACTACCAGACAATTTCTGACAAAGTGTATTTGCAATCCACAATATAATAACTTGTGCAACATAACATCTTTATTCCAAATCAAATTTTATTTATCTAGGACTTACCTAACGCCATTTTTGAAATTTGGAATTTGTTTTATTATCTATTTCATATTTTGTAAAATTTTAACGAATTTTTTGTTAACAAACTCAACGACTTCAAAGCGACCATTGGCAAGGCTGTACACACACACACACACACACAAAAAAAAAAAAAAAATAAAAAAAATTTATCTCCAGTACATGAGACTACCAATGCCAATGAAGAAGATTTACGGAATCCCTGTGGTAACACCACGCACCTCCACATCACAAGAGTAAAATTTGTACAGAGTTGGGAAAAAATAGATAAATAATAGGAGATAAGAATAGGAGGAATTTGTGTGAGTAAAAGAAAAGCCTGCATTGCTGAAAAGCAGAGAGAAGAGAGGGGTGAGGAAATAAAAAGAATCATTGTTAGGAAAATTCAGAGTTAGTAAGAAAGGGGTAAAGAATCATTGGCAATGGCACATAAAAAAATTTTTATCTGTGAAGGGCTCGATGAGTGGGCGAGTTCTTGATTCGGACATCCAATCAAAATCTTCACGTTCAGAGAAGGATAACATAATTTTCATGGCTTGCAGTTTTAAGATTAATTTTTCAACCTGAGAATTAGAAGTTCGCATCTTTTGCACAATTGAAAGGATATTTTGTAAAAGACCGAAAATTATTTTGGTTCTTGAAAGCATCAAGAATAGGGTCAATTTTTTCTTCTTTTGTAATATTTTTCTTGAGAGTTTCACTGAATGAAGATTTTTTGGTGGTAAAGCTTAATGGTGGAATGTCCGCAGAAAATGCACTTGGGTTCTCGACTTTCTGTAAGTTTACAAGTAGATCCTCTGTGAGATCGTCCGCCTTTGCAACATCGTTCATCATTAAAACGTGCATGTTGAGTATATCCAAATGGCTAGCATTTATAGCACTGGGTTGGGCGGTTAGGTATAGGTTTGTAGAATTCAGTTTGTAGCGTTTTTATTCATATTGAAAATAGCATTTTCTTCTTTAGGCTTACCAAGTTCGATAAAATAGAGAGGCAGTCTTATCAGTCCCGTTTTCAGTTTTCCTAGTTAATTTTTTCACTTTGCGTACTAGAAATTTTCTCAGGGTCAAGATTTGAAAAACATGACTTTCTGCTATTGACGCTGGTAAGTTTCTGATGATTGCTTTAACAATTCGCTCATTTTCCATTTGGTGTGAATGAAATTTTAGGTTATTCGATTCCAGAAATTTAGCCAATTTACGACAATTTTCAACGGATTTTAGAAATATAAAGATTAATCCTCTGTGTAATTGAGCTTCAAACTCGTTTACACATAATTTTTGGAAAGAAGCTTCCAGAAAATTCCAGTTTATATGACTATCAGAAAGAACAATCGGGGAAATTTTCCTTGGCTGTGCAGTAGGATTAACATTACTTTTTTGAGACACTATTATCAGTTAGAGCAGCAAACTTGTTATTTTGCCAGATTTCATTGACTTCAGTTCATGTTTGGGCTTCTTAACCGGGTTTTTAGGTAATTTCCATTCTTTATCGTCGTCACTTCGTCTGCCAGAAATAGTTCTTGTGGATTTATTTTCTGTCCATCAATGAGATTTGGGAAAACCCTTTTGTAAATGTTCTGCCGTAATGTCTGAGAAATCGATTTCCTGACGTAGTTTCTGCATTTTCCTTTCAACTTTTTGGAATCAAGTCCTCAAAGGAGTCAAGTCCATGACTAAAAGAAGCCCTCAAAGGCGTCATGTCTTTTGTAATCAAGCAATTCAAGTCCGCTTGAGAGAAACTTGATCGATAAGATTGGTTGTCAGCTTCAGAGTTGGGCATAATCCAAGGGATGGAAGTCTTTTCTGATGCGTTACTAGCCATAAATAGCACATGAGACTGTGTATCAGAAAGGCTTATGCTCTTTTTAAATTATTATGAGAAATTTCTGTAAATTGAGTTTTATAGTTTAAGTGCAAAGACCGTAATATATAATAAATACAGGTAACACACAAAACGTTAAAAAAAAAAAAAAAATGCCACTTTTGGCGTAATTTAAAATCTGAAAACCTTCAGATTTTTTTAAAATTATTTTGTAGTAAAGTTAACGAAATTTTGAAAAATATACACTTCCTTAAGAATAAAATGAACTAGAATATGTAATTTGAAAATGTTGTTGATTATCTTAAGATGAAGAATAAAACTATCCTCAGTCTAGATTCTTAAGAAACATAACTACAACTTTTTACTACAAGACACCGGGCAGATGGTTACCAAGGTAGTTTGTACGCATAAGCAGCGCGTTGTGTAGCGTAAGAAAGAAAATAGGTGAAAAGATCGTGCTAACTTTGTATTATTAACAGGCACGATGAGTTGTTGTGCACATGTTGATAGATATAAGGAGGAGAAAGGAACTTACACGTTTCGACTTATACATGCTTTTTTTGTAGCTTGTATAGCGGAAGGTTCTTTAAAAAGAAAGGTATTTGTTATATGTGTTAATCTGCTGAAAAGTTATAAACCCATTTGGTGGTCATTACTACTTTAAAAAAAACTCATGACATTAAAAAAAAAAAAAATCTGCCTAGTTTTTTTTTTTTTTTTTTTAACATTTGAAGAATAATCTTTTTTAAATCATTATTATTATTATTATTATTATTAATTGTCAGTTTCACCCAAGTAAAAAAAAAAAAAAAAAAAAAAAAACAGACGAAACCACACATGTTGTATTCATAAGATTTAAATAAAAATGGGTTAAAAGCATTTAAATATGTAATCACATTTTCGAAAATCCCAAATCAAGTTATAGTATGATACACCATACGTTGTGATTGTTCATTTTGCGTGTACACAATCATGTTTAGAACCTTCGATTACAATCGTTCGTAAAAAATCTTTTCATCGTAAAGAGGAAAATACTTTGCATGTCATAAATAATAAGAATTTAATATAGCAATATATACAAAATTTTTTTAGCTTGCTGCATTTTATTTTCATGCATTTGTATTAACGTCCTCAGACGTGAAAAGAGACTTTATTGATTATTTTGTCATAATCTAATATTTAGATTTTATTTTTGAAATAAATTTACTCTTAGATTTAATTTCTTGAATATACATTCTTTATTTAACATGTGATATATAATTAAGTGAAGATTGAAAAACTCCATTAAATACAATTATCATGAAAGTGTTATCAAATTTAATTTATTTACATATATCAGTAACTTATGATAATGCAATTTTCAGGACTATGTGTATAACACTAAAATCTCATTTAAACTATATTTAGACAATATATAATTTTCACATTTAACTTTGTTGTTTTGACAGGTATTTATAAATTAGTCATTTTCTCATATATTAAATGGATTTTTATGTAGCTGAATCTTGACGTTTTTCTTAATTGTAATAATGTTGCTTAATTGTAATAATGTAAAAAAATAGTCACTAATATATTAAAAGATATGAGACCTGAGTATTCAAATTTTCTAATAATAAAATGTTTAACTGAAAGCTTTTTTTTTTTTTTTTTTTAATCTTAAATTGGTCTAAACATATAAATTATTTTTTTTAAATTATAGAATACATTACATTTAAAGTAAAATTAAGTTTGAAATTTTATAAGTTATATTTTACTAACTATAAATCAGCATTCTGAAGTAGAGTTAAAATTTCAACATGTAATGATTTATTATTAGTCCCTTGAGGCTATGGTAGGTCTTGAAAAATGTACATTTCAATTATGCTGCTAAATCTATTACTACTTATTAGTAGTTATTTTTTTTCATTTGAATGAAGAATGAGAGTTGTTTTCTGAGCAGCTTTGTTCTTATCAAACATATCTCAGTGTGTGAAAGTGTCATGAGAGTTGTTTTCTGAGCAGCTCTGTTCTTAAAATGTATGATTAAAACATATCTCAGTATGTGAAAGTGTCAGAAATTACACTTTTACTTCCAGTTAAAAGAATTAGAGAGGGAAGAATCTGTTAGATTCATAATCCACTCAGAATGTGGACATCTGCTGTGCAATACTCCATTGGAATTGAATTAAAAAAGTGTATTTGTATTGTATCCAGTAATCTAACTAATGAATTCCCATAAATTAAACAATCAAATGAAAATTTATTAATATAATGTTTTGTCTCTAATGTTTACCCTCCCAGGATATATTCAGAAAATGATCCTGCAGCTAACCCAACTGCAATATTTCCTAGAATTAGAAACAGTTTTAAGGATTGATTTCTAAATGCAGCATTTTATTCATAGGTCCAGAATGTTAGTAATGCAAAGGGTAAAGGATTCCTGGTTGAGATTCAAGTCAAGCTACTAGCTGAAGATGTTAAGCTAGTTATATAAGTAGAATTCTTAAAATATTGTGACTGTCCTTGAATTATTGAAATTTAAGGCTGAATATAATAGGTCTATTGCATTTCTTTTAATGTTTAATGTGACAGTGAGCCTTAAAAAGTCTTTAATCAAAGATATATCCTTAAGATCTTTTATAGGATAGTATCAACTTGTATCAAGAAACAAGAAAAAGCAAATAACCTTTTTGTATTTTTTATTTATTTATTTTTATCAAACAAATCCTAATAAACAATTTAGCTTTTCATGTAAAAATTTATATTTGGAAATAATTAGTTAAAGTCCAGCTTCATGAAATACTTTTATTGCATGATTATTTTATTGTGATCTTGATCTTTCACAAGTGTTGTGAAAAACTTTTACATACCTGATATGGCCAGATCCTAGACCCATAAATAAATTTACAATTTTTACTAACTTTTTTTTTAAATTGTATTTTAAAAGATATTTCAAGCATGTAATGAGTAATTCATAAGATTACTACTGCTTTTCTTTTAACATAAAATATGCTGCACATTATCTGCAATTAAAATATGATAGACAGCTGTTTAGGACCTATACCATGCCAATTAAAGTTTAAATGTCAGTATATTCTAATTATCTTTTCATTTTTAATATACTTGGGAACATTAAATCATTCTTTGAAAAATTCATTTTGTTAATCACAAAATTATTTTATTTTTTCTCTGAATCCACAAATAATCCCAAAGTTGAGTTTCTGTAAAATACATGCAATTTTATATCTAATTAGTGGAAAGAAAAGAATGATAACAGAATTCTTATAATCTCATAAAATAAGAGAGTGCTTTGGATGAGTTGAGATCAGAATTTTTTAACTACTTGTTTAATACTGTTAGGTGAAAAGTGTCTATCAATCACAGTTCCTTTTAAGTAGTTTAGCTCTTGACTGAGAGCCAATATGGAGGAGCAACTTGAAGTGCTCAGAAAAGATGAAGGAATAAAATGAAACTAACTTCTGTTTAGTCAAATGACATGCTCTAAATTGTGGTAGATGGCAAATAGATGAATGGTAAACAATAGTACTGAATTTGCATATGTTGCATGTGACCAAAATATTGAAGAGTGGGAGAGAATTGGATGCACCAAGTTCAAATGTGAACTAAATAACAGGATCAATAGAAATCATTATTCAATGAACTTATTTAAAACATCTTTATTACCTTTATTATTTAAAACATCTTTATTATCTTTATTACCATCTTATTTAAAACATCTTTATTACCATCAAACAAAATAATGGTGTTGTCAACGGAGTGAATCCATACAGGAAAGTTCAAAATTTCAAATAGTTATTATTCATTATGATGCATGTAGATATCAGCAAGGATAGGACTAAACCCATGACTAATCCCTCAGTCTAGTTATAATACTTCTTTTGAAAAATGGAAATATGTTTACTGCAGACAATATTAAGTAAGGAAAATAAACTCATCAATTTTGATTCATGAGGAATGAATTCTCGAAGTCTGATTTCTGGATATTTAAGCATGCCTTCCACTGGAACATTGCTGAACAATGACTATCTACCAAAAGAAATCATGTTGAAATTTCGAAGAGGAATATTTTTAAATTTATTTATAAATTTTCTATTGAATTTTTTATAGTGTTATCAGCTAACAAAGCTGAAAATCTAGAAACTAAATATTTAGCTACTAGATTTCAGATGGTGCTTAAATTTGATAAGGTTGGGTAGAATGGAATACCACTTTTATGAATTTTGAATAGAGCATATAATCTGGTACAATCATTATTTACTCATGTTCCAGTGGAAAGTGTGCTTATATGTCCAGAAACAAGATTTCAAGAATCTCATTTCTCGTGCATGGAAACTAATAAGTTAATTTTCTTTATTGAACTTTGACTGCAGCAAACACATTTCATTTTTCGGAAGAAGTATTACAACCAGACTGAGGGAAGACATGGGAAGCTTTCTTAGTCCTGTCCTTGTTGATATCTATAAGTATCATTATAAATCCAAATAATTTGAAATTTTAAACTTGTTGTTCCACTAAGTTTATTGTGATCTTGATCTTTCACAAGTGTTGTGAAAAACTTTAACTTACCTGATATAGCCAGATCCTACAGACCCATAAATAAATTTACAATTTTTACTAACTTTTTTTTTTTTTTTTTTTTTTTTTTGTATAATGTTATAAACATGATTTAAATTTAGAAGAAAGTTCTTTTCATAATGATTTCTGTTGTTCCAATTATTTAGTTCAATTTCGAATTTGAGAAATCCAATTCCCTTCCATTCTATGACATTTTGGTTGCATTCAACGTATTCAACTTGAGTATTACGTTTACCATAAACATTCATCTATTTGCCTTCCAGCACAGTTCAGATTATGTCCTTCATCTAAACAGAAGTTAGCTTCATTTTATTCTTTTGTTTTCTGAGGATTTCAAGTTTGCTTCTCCAAATCAGCTCTTGATCAACAACTTCGCTACTTAATTAATAGCAGTTGCTACTGACAGAGGCTTTTCACCGAACATTGTCATCCGAGCAATCGAAAATTTCTCATCTCAATCCATCAAAAAGCACTCTGTTGTTTTAGAAGATTGTAAGAATTCTGTTATCATACCCTTCCCTTCCCAACACTGATTAGCTATAAAATTGCACATATTTTACAGAAATTCAGCTGGTAGGTCTTGTTTACTTCTATCAATAAAATCTGCAGTTCCATTCTTAAAGACCCCATTCTCGATATAAACTGCTGGAGTATATATAGGATTTCTTGTCACTGTGGCCTGATTTATGCTGGTCAAACTAAGAGAGCCCTAAAATTTTTCGCTAAGGAACATGAGGCATATGTTGGGGAAAATGACACATAAATCCTCTGTTGCAAAACATTGTTGGTCAGAAAATCAGATTTTCAATCTTTCTGCAGCCAAAATTATTCAAAAAGCATCTTCTGTTGGCAAATTATCTTTTCTGGGAGTGTTTCACATTCATAAAAAATTTTCAGTTCCTGGTTAATGATCCCAATTCCAAGCTTCCTTTGCCCTGAGCTTTCAATAAAATTGTCTCTTAATTGTTTTCATTTTTCTTCAATAGATGCCATCAATAGCTTGCCTTCATACCTTTCACTGTTTTTGCCTGAGTATAGGTTTCTCTTTCATCAATTGACTTCTACGGTTGAAGAAGAAGGTTTTATATTTAAACCTTTGAAACTAGTTGTACAACTTTATGCATATTACACTGATTCTTGTTGCCTTAACTCCTCCAATAATAACTGTATTATACTGTACTATTGAGAAGGTATGTAAATAGCTCTCAAAAAGTTTGAAATATATAAGAGAAGAAATTTCAAGTGTCGCTTTAAATATAATAAATATTTGAAAAATATTTCTGAAATTAGGTAAAATGAAACTCTTCTTCAAATTTAATATCTGCCTATGAGTTTTGCCTAGCTTCAAGTTTAAAATTGGCTTGCTTCTCTTATATACAAGAATGAAGCTCACCTTTAGTACAACCTTTTATTTCCCTACAGGTATCACATTTATTTTGTGCCCACTTAATAAGATATTCATAACAACAAAACTTCAGAAACTTTAAAATTTAGGCAAAATATCTTAGATTAGCATTGTCTTTTGAGAAATATTGTCAGCTAGGATAATCTGCAGCCACTGAGTGCCCAAGATAATGAATTATCACCTTTTTTTAAAAAAAATTTTTTAATAAACATTATATATTATCAAACTTGGTAAATTCATAGATTTCTCAAACTTTTTATTTCACAATATGTAACTCTTTTATTGCAAACTAGAAATTTTCTTCAAATCTAATAGTTAAATTTCTGCAAAATAACCCTGACTTTGAATTTTACATATTCTGCAAAATATTTTATCATTTATAAGATTTTATTTCTTTATTTTTTTTCCTTTAAGTATGAACTAGCTCAACTAGAAGTGTTCTATGTGCCATATTTATTGAAAATAATTTGATACATTCCATAAATCTACGTTTATGGGATAATTCTTAGTCACTAAAGGTTAATTTCAAGCATTTTTGTTGACATTTTATCTGTTATAATCTTGTGTATTCATAAAATGTTTTTAAAGTATAACAATAAAATAACTTACTTAATTGCAATGGGCACTCCATGGTTGATCTTAAAATTCTGTATTCTATAGAGCAAAGACCATCTGGTAATTTAATTAATTAGAGCATATAATTTTCTAATTGTTGCATTGTCTCGTTGTTCAGTTTAATGCTTAATGTCTAAATATTGTGTTGTAATATTTAATAATAAACACAATTTTTCTATATCTATATCCTCATTGTTAAGTTCTTAATTTTTAACTTGGATTTATTTATTTTTTTCAGTTTGCTTTAGCACCTGGTATATGAATTTAAGATAAGAAATTAAGAAAACACTTTTGTTCACGCCAGTAAAATTTGGAAATGTCATGACGATGCAAAACTTTTATAACTTCAGTTCCCTTCCCCAGCCAAAATCCTGAATTTGCCATTGTCTAGTCCATTTTAACATATAGTTCAGTGAAGAATAAAATTATTGAAAAGTGAGTGCTTCATGATCTGACACCCTGATCAATTGCTAAATGTATGAATTTATGTAGAATCAATTTAAATGAATATTCTAAACATTAAAACTCGGGTATAAATTTTCACTCGTTGGAATATGGGTCTTACTATACATGAAGTCTTAACAACAGTTAGTCAAGAGTTGTTATATATCTTAATGAGCAACTGCTGTACGTTGAGCCTAAAATATTCAAGCTTCAAAAAAATGCTGAATATAAATATTGATTTTCATAAAATTGCTTTTTTTTTTAAGTTATTGCCATCAAGGATTATCATAAGATATCCTCTGTACCATTTTTCTACTGAAAGATAATTTTCAAACTTTTTCATTGTTAGGCAAATTAAACAACTTGGAATCTTGCCAGAACCTGATAATCATCAAAAAGTTAACGAATGTTTGACTGAATAAAAGATTTAATTAAAGTGACCACCTGATACTATATGTATATGTGTATATTTATAAATGCATATATCTGTATATGTTTTATTGTATAATTTTCATGACTTATGCTATTTGCAGGCACACTGTATTTGCTACGAATGCAAAATACTTACACGCAGAATTCATGCATGTTTATTTTGTGTCTATTTTGGATGCTACTACAGAAGTCATATTCATAAGCATGCAGAAGAAAAGCAACATCATCTCGGTATGTGTGCTCTTGAGTTTTTATTTTATATGCATTTTTGATTAACCATATCCAACCTACATTAAACTGGGGGGGGGAATATTAGTGCATCCACTTATTGCTTGTAAATAAACTTATGTGTGCAATACTTGGTACAGCTTCATACTGTAAATTTCTTGCTATTTCTTGTTCTGTGGAAATGGATGTATGACAACAGTTCTGAAGCTTGGTAGTCCTGCTTTAGTGGTGTATATCTTTTTAATGTTTTGGCAGTATTGCTGCAGCAGTTTTATGAACATGGGTTAATTAAAATTTCTTTATCCACATTTTTTTAACAAAAGAATAAAGGAAACTCTTCTGAAAGATGTTAAGAGAAGGAAGAAAGCTTGTATGATTGTATGCAAAGGCCTCTTGTCTTCAAGAGGAAGGTTTTAGACACCTTTTAGCCTGTCATAGTATAACATTTAAGAACCCTATGTCTAGGGCTCAAACAAACTCAGTTAAACTCAATTGTGAAGATCCATTAAAAGATCTCTGCATGAAACTGACCACCCATGATTTCATTTCTTTTGAGAACAAACAGTATCTCAAGAAAATGGGTTATGAATAGAGTGAAGTTTTGCAGGCTATGTAAGAATATGTGTTTACAAAAGAAGTACAATTGGATATTCTTGTTTTATCACTGAAATTGACTAAAGTTAAGAAATCAAATATATAATCATTGTAAAACTATGAATGTAAACTAGCTATATGGAGGCTTTGGTGTGTCTAGTCACCTCCTTCCCCCCAAGGCTGAGGAAAAAATGAAGAAAACTCATATCGATATTATTGAGAGATATACGAAGCAGGGTTTTATAATTCCCTCAGATTGCTATAAACCATGTAATTGTCTTCAAGATGAAGGTTTTTATGCACCACTCACTCAATCATATTATGAGATTTAATAACTTGGTTTCTTTACAGAGAGGCATGTGTAGGAATGTGTGTGTGCACAAAATTAATATGATTGGATGTTCTTGTGTGATTTATGAAAATGCAGCTTGGCTAGATGGATGTTATAAAAGGAGCTTGACTAGGTTTTTTTTTTTTTTTTTTCTCCCAGCTTTTTTGCAAAAAGAATGAAGAAAGCTCTTCTCAAAACTCTGAAGAGAAATATATAATAGAGTTCAGTAATTGTCTTAATTGACAGGAGGGCATCTTCAAGATTAAGGATTTATGAACTTCTCAGTGAGTGCTAGTATGTCGTTTAAGTATATATGGCTCTTAATTTGCTTGGAAATCTACATGGAAAAATATCTACATGGAACTAATCACTTGTGATTTCATTTCTTTTGGGATGGAAGACTCGGAGGAATGCGTTATGAATGCAGTGAGGTTTTGCTGAGGGCTATATGTCAGAATTAGTGTACAATATTAGTATGATTTGATATGCTAGCATGATTGTTTAATTTCACGAAAGCAAAAGGAACCTTAATAAAAGAATGAATTGAACTTGGTTATTTATTGGCCCTAGAAGGAGTTTGACTGGTTTTTTTTTGTTTCCAAGCTTGTTGAGAAAATGAAGAAAATTCTTCTTGAAGTTATTAAGAGAAACATAAAGCAGGTTTCAGTGATTATCTCAGATGGCTGGAAAACATGTAATTGCCTTCAAGATGAAGGTCTTATGCACCTTTCATGTAGTCTTAGTGTGAAATTCAAGTATACTTGGTCCCTAGGTTTCATGGAGATTCCTTTAAAGATATCTGCTTGCAAGTAACCACCCATGATTTAATTTCTTTTGAGATTGATGTTTAAAAAAAAAAAAAAAATGTGCCATGGATGGGATGAAGTTTTGCAGAGAGGTCCATGTAGCAATGTGTGGGTTCGAAAGTAATAAGTCTATACGTTCTGATGTGATCATTGAAATTCATGAATGCAAGTTCAAAAAGAAAAATAATCCCATGGTTAAGAGAATGAATGAAACTTGGCTATATGGAGGCACTGAAAGGGACCTGATGTTTTCCTTGAAGCTTGTTGAATATGGTTAGAATGCATATAATTATCTTCAAGATGTAGAATTTGTAGGTTTTGTCAGTCAATAATACTATGACATTTAAGGATTTAGAGTCACCAAACTCAATCGAAGGCTTGTGTAGTTCCAGTAAAAGATTTGTTCAAGGATCTGACAATTTTTAGGTTAGTTTCTGAGATCGATTTTGGAGAAATACATCATGGATGGCATGAAGTTTTGTGGAGAGGAATGTAGGAATGTGTATGTACTAAATGCAATATAATTGGAAGTTCTGCTGTGATTATTTAAATTTATAAAAGTAAATTCGGAGAGTAAAAATATAAGTGTTGTAAAAGAGTTAAATGTAACCTTGCAAATACAAAGATTTAAAGGGGTGTGATTTTTTTTTTTTTTTTCTTTTGTTCCTACAAATTTGTTGAGGGAAAAAAACCTCTCCTCAAAATTATTTTGAGAAACACAAAGCATCATTCTATGTTTGTCTGAGATTGTTGGAAAGCATATTATAGTCTTCAAGATGAAGATGTTGTCCACTTTTGTTCACTCATAGTATAGCATTTAAGGTCTTTTTGTAGAAATAATCTTTCCTATGTGGAGGCATTGAAGGGATATAACATTTTTTTTTTTTTTTTTTTTGCTGTACATCCTTAAGAAAAGAATAAAGGAAACACTTCTCAAACTTATTAAGAAAAACATAAAATGTGTTTCTATAACTGTCTCAGATGGTTGGAAGGCATGTAACTATCTTGAAGATGGAGGATTTAGATGCCTTTGTGTAAGTCATAAGTATGACATATAAGGACTTGGTTTCTACAGCTTTCAGAAACTTGATTAAAGGTTTCTGGAGCTCTATTAAAAGATCTCTGCAAGGAACTGACTACCCATGATTTCATTTCTATTGAATTCGATGTGTCTTGGATGGAGTATGTCATGAATGGGATGAGATTTTTTCAGAGAGGTATGTGTAGGAATGAGGGTGTTCTAAAGTAGTATGATTGGATGTCCTGGTATGATTGTTGTAACTGATGGAAGCTAGCTATATGGAGGCAATGAAATTTGTTTTGTTTTTCTTATCCAGCTTGCTGGGAAAAAATATAGAAAACTCTTTTCTGGGTTATTAAGAGAAGCAAAGATCTGTATTTGTTTTATATTGCTGGAAGGCATATAGTTATCTTCAAGGTGAAGGTTTTGCAGAGTTGCCAACTCTCCCGATTTAGGTGGGAGACTCCTGATTTTCGACCACTCTCCCGCCAACCCGATTTACAATATATTTCTCCCGCTTTTCTTATTCTTAAAATTTCTCTCACAATTTTTATGGAACTTGGCTTAATACTTTGTTATATATATATATATATATATATATATATATAAAGTGATTTTGGCAGTCTGAAAGCAATTGAATTTTCTCTTAGGTTATATCTAAAACAAAACCTTGCGAATTAGATAACTTCTGCTTTGTAAGTGAGAGCAGAGCATATACGTATCCAGAAACGTCGTTCTCCAGTTCTCCAATGGAGGCATTGTGCTCCACTACGTGTCATCTGGCATATATTAATTAGCCAATGAGGACAAAGCAAGCTGTTATTTGGATGTTCTTTAGTTATTTCGGTCATTTTGTCCTGAGTTGTTTGAGTATACGTGCCTTAGGGAAATAGTTTTAGAAATTATCATCTTTTGTTATGTCTGCCAGAAAGGTGAAATACTCGTGTACGTTTCAAAAATCGTACACAGTTGACTTTCTTTCCATTATTTCCTCAAGGAAATGTAATAAATTTGTGATGTGTACTGCCTGTCGTTGCGATTTTTCGATTTCGCATGGTGGAAAGGGCGGATGTTCTCAAACATCTGCATACACAAAAACACAAGGATAACATGAGTTGTTGTTGAAAAAAAAAAAAAAAAGAACGGAAAATTGAAATTTTTCTTCAGAAACAGAGGACCAAAAAGTTGCTAATGCAGAATGTCTGCTGATGGAATTTTAAAATATAGGGAGCTGTCTGGAATATGTTGGCCATCTTGACAGTTCCCCATAATAATGCAGAGTGTGAGAAAATTTTCAGTATTGTTGCAAAAACGAGGACTAAATTTAGATCTAATATTAGTGATGACACATTAGAAAAGCTTTTATTAGCGAAAGCAGGCCTACGTGGCAATTACTACGAACAAAATTATGAAGTTTCTTTCTTAAAGAAAGCAAAATCTGCCACTGTTTATAACATTTGTACGAAAACTAATTAAAGTGGTTTTCTTTTTTCTTAATCGATGCAAGTAATAAAAATGTTTTTGGTTGAACTTTACAATATGGTAACTGGTAGTTTGGCGTCATTTTGGAGGCGATAAAGGTTATTACCTGGGACTTTGGTAATAATGTGAGTAGTACTCAGTTCCGATTACGCATTATTTTGCGTGAGGGAAATGAGAGATCATGGGATATGTCATGTGATATTAATGGAGGAATTATGGTTCTTTAATCGGAAAAGGGGGAAATCGGGAAAAAATGTGGAAATTTTGTATTTAGCTTTATTCTGTATTGTGTGAAACAGTGTTGTTTAATTTTTGGATCCCATGGCCCTAACTAAAGTGAATTCAAAATGGGTATTTAGGCATTGTGATAAAGAGAAGTTTGCTTTTTATTTAGCGGAGGAAGTATGGAGGAAAAATTCACAGAAAAAATCTTTCAATAATTAAGACACAATAACACGCCGAATAAATACTAATTCAGAAGTCAAACAACAAAAATCAGCGTTATATTTACAAAATTTTCACAGGACTAGTTTCGATGGTTTTACCAAACCATCATCTTCAGCTGCAAAACCGAAAATGAACAAGATAGGAAATAATGATTAGATAAGATAAGAAAGCCTGGACAAGAATAAGCAAGTGGCGCCATCTGTTGGCGAAACCAGAACTAAAACATAATTTCTCTAAAAGCCGAAGGCAAATTTGGATTGGAATTAGGATCATTAACTAAACAGAAAGATTTTTATGAATGTGAAATGCCTCTAGAAAATCC